TTGTTGTTGTGCTTTCTGAATTGTTATTTTGTTTTTTAGACTTGCATTTGCGTTTGTAATTTGTTATTTTGTTTTCAGAATTGTGATTTGTTTAGCACTTCTCGGTCACCGTAATAAACACCATCAAACCGATGAGCGCTTCGGATCTTCCAATGTTTCTCTATGGCGCTGAAACCTAAAGATGTCAGAGTTCCGCTCCCCGTGCAACTGATACTCGACTGCCATTGGCTCATCTGCGTTCGAGGGGAGGGGCTTACAGATAGGTCAATTGTGGCGCCAAATGTGATAATTAAACCTAATTGTACATTTTACACATAAATATTGCATTTGACACCCAATATGCAAGTACAAACAATAATGAGCAATATCCAGCTGTGACCTAACCGTTTTCTTACATGACACTAGTAACGTTACGTACATACACACTAGCATCATCTATTCTCAATAGCCATTAGCCAAATAACTACGGTACATTAGTCATAGCTGATATTTCGTAATGACAGCGCTGCTAACGCCACCGCATATCTGGAAAGACGGGTGTCAATAGGTTTGGGACAGAAATCCCCGCAGGAAAGTGACCTAACGTTACACAACTTGCAACCAACATTTGTGCATGGAGCATAAACTAAACGAACAACTATATTGTGTGTTCAAGCATGTTTTTTTTAATGCATGCACGTATTGATGTAATAAAGCATGCGTGTTCCTTACTGTTGTGACAGTGTACAGCAGGAAGACTTTTTTGCAGCAGAGCCCGACTGCATAACAAAAGACACGTGGAGCCGGAGGGACGCACGCCAGTGGTCGATATAAAACACTTAAGGACAACGGTTTGGTTCAAAAGTATTCATCATACGTACACAACAACACGAACATCACTCGACTATGAACAATTAAAGGGATTGTGGAACGCTTTGGATATTGTTCACTCATAAAAATGTCCCATGATCACGAGTTTGCCGTTTATGCTTTGCAGCAAAACCGAACTGATTCATCGGCATTGCTCTATAATGGCAAAATGACCGATACATTCCTGTCCAATGCAACGACAATGTGGTTTTAAGAGAAAGCACTGAATTGACAGCACATGGACTTTAAGTGACACGCAGACTAGACCTCTGACCCAAAAGTGCTCGCAAACAAACCGCCCAGTGTTCAATAAAATACCAAACACACGTTTAGACTCTGTCATTCTACGCTGTTCAACCGATGCTTGTGTTTGCTGTACCTGAGCTTTTTTTCCTCGAGTTTAATCCTTTTGGCTTTAGGTTCATCGGACGCCATGCTGTAGCGTGATAGTGCTCTATCAAATATTCTCCAGGCACCTTGTCGAGCGAATGAAGCATCTGGAGGCGCGGTTGGCGGATAGTTCTTTTGAACTGAATCTTTTCACTGAATCGATTCACAAAACCGTGAATCTGAACTATTCCTTCACGAACCGGACTGAAACGGTCCAAGCTGTTCTCACGGACCCATTTGAACTGAGAATCATCTCTCTCGAATTTATCCGTTTCGTAACGAGTCGAGGACCGATGAGTGAGCTACTAATAAAAGCATTCGATTCTCTGTTCAGTGAGTCAGTAAATAACGCGAGTGAACCGAAGATTTGACTAACAGGGTGAAAGTTACTTTAATAGCCAAATAGCAAAATTGCTACAAATAACCTACTGCAATTGTATGACTTTGTAAATAACCCCCCATTTTAATAAACTTGAATCAATCTTCAGTAAACTTTAATCCTACAGGCCAGGGACCACGTGATAATATAAATCTATAGTGAATCTGTTCATTTGATTGTTCCTTGAAAAGAGTTGTTCAAAAGAACCGACTCGAATAAATTATTCTAGCCGTGGAGAGTAAAATTTACCACAGACACATAGCTGCCCCTGTGTATTGCCGGAACAAAAAATACATTTCCAAGCTAATATAAACTTTAATTAAACACATGCTTTGTAGAGGTATCGTTGAACGTCTTTGATCTTAAGCTTTTTTCACAGGGAGCGAGTGTTTGTGTTTTAAATCTACTTTAACATAAATTCGCGACAGGCTTAGATTCGAACGCATGAACATCTGCCACATTTGCAAGCGGGTATACTGCCTGAAAACATTAAGCAAGACAGCTGTCTACAGGTAAAATTTATTTAGAAATAAGTTTAGATATGTGTAGTTATGAACAACCGACTGTCTGTATTTGTTCGACTGAATATTATTTTCTCAAATAATCGGTAGACGCAGGATATCCTGTAACTCTTCCTCCAGGAAACAACTTTTCTGCTTTTGTTTTTAGTATTTTCTGAGGGATTAATGATTTAATTAGCTATCACCCTGTCCTGCATTGCCTTTGAAATTATAGTAATATATATGTTACAAGTTTGTTTGCGACCAGTTGTGATAGATTTGAAAGAAATTTAGGTTGTGAAGTTTTAATTTACTGTTATAGGATAATACAGTTGTTTGCACGGAGCTCAGAACCTGAAATGTAGCTTTATAAAGTGCACAATGAACAGCATTTAGATCTAACCCCTGGTCACTATATTATTTTCAAAATAGTTTTTTATTTTAATTTTTTAATTGATTATATAGGGATAAACTGATCAAGTAGGGATACATGTGTAATCTTTTAAAGCCACTATCCTAATTACTGTAAGTAATTAGAATATTGTTTTAATTCTTATACAGAGGATTTAATTTGGAATTTGACTTCAAAGCAGATTACAAAGACATGGCTTTAAAAAAAATGAATGTGAACATTAAATTAATTTGTGGGTGAGTTTACCTCAAAGTTCTCCTAGTACATTTTGATTATTCATTTAAAGTACTATCCCGACAACCCTTTTTTAAATGATATTTTTATAACCAGAGTAAAAAAGTAAAAAACTTTGAACGTTTTAGGCATGTTTCTCTCCAAACACTGGAATAACATAGTAGCATTGTGACTCCCATTCTCATTGTCCCATTTTCATCCTGTTGAAATTCCAGCCCTCATCATGATTCACAGCTTGTTTCTGATTAGCAATGCTGGCGATTTATTCCTGGAGAAACACTGGAAGAGTGTCATAAGCCGCTCCGTCTGCGATTATTTTTTCGAAGCACGGGAGAAGGCAGTGGAACCTGACAATGTGCCTCCTGTCATCCGCACCCCTCATCACTATCTCATAAACATCTACCGTGAGAAGATCTTCTTTGTTTCTGTCATCCAAACAGAAGTGCCTCCACTCTTTGTAATAGAATTTCTGCATCGAGTCGCAGAGACATTTCAGGTATCAATAACCCACTGACGGTGTGGCGTAGAAAATATATGCTAACATACACTACGGTCAAAAGTTTGGGTTCAGTAAGAATTTAAGAAATTAATGTTTTTATTCAGCAAACTTGGTGTATGTTTTATTGTAGATGTCTTGTATAGAATGTGTGCTACTGAATAATATGGTGTTTTACAATCATTTATGTAGGACTATTTTGGAGAATGTTCTGAGACCACTATCAAGGACAATGTGGTCATAGTCTATGAGCTCTTGGAGGAAATGTTGGATAACGGCTTCCCCCTCGCTACAGAATCCAACATCTTGAAAGAACTCATCAGACCTCCAACAATCCTGCGGTCGATGGTCAACACCATCACAGGTAAAACACCTCATTCCTGAGTATTTTCTTCATGGCTATGTGATGTTGAGAATCTAACTGATTCATAATCCTCAGGCAGTAGTAATGTTGGCGAAACACTCCCTACTGGTCAGCTCTCCACTATCCCATGGAGAAGAGCAGGTGTGAAATATACCAGTAATGAGGCTTACTTTGATGTGGTGGAAGAAATCGATGCCATCTTGGATAAGTCTGGTAAGACTGTTGTTGGTACTTTGATTTCACAAGTAGTGATTTCATAATACTGAAGGTATGTATTTCCTTTCAAGATTAATATTGGTGTTCTCTTCTGTTTCAGGAACTGCAGTCTTTGCAGAAATCCAGGGAGTTATTGATGCTTGTGTCAAGCTCTCTGGAATGCCAGACCTTACTCTCTCATTTATGGTGAGAGCACTTAATCATATTCATATCTCTCTCTTTTTCTTTTTTTGGATACATTATATTTTTTGTGCCATCAACTGTATTTAAAATTGTGATGAAACCAAACTAGCGACAGGGTGGAGAATTGAATCTATCCATTGGTTGTTAAATATATTTTGAGATGTGGCCTTTGCACATTTTAAACAACATTTCTCCAATATTGTGCATGCTGCTTTTATGATCTCATATTAATCAAGGGCATATGTGTAGCTTTAAAAATTCCTGTTTTCAGCAAAACATTTTTAACATCATTCTTCATCCACAGAACCCCAGGCTCCTGGACGACGTGAGTTTTCATCCGTGCGTCCGTTATAAGAGATGGGAAAGTGAAAGAGTTATCTCCTTCATTCCCCCCGATGGAAACTTTCAGCTCATGTCGTATCACATCAGTGCGCAGAAGTAAGCAGAGTGTTGATCTGAAGCAAATAGTTAAGCAATAAACCTAAAACGTATTAAAGATATTTAAAGTTTTTTACCTGTTTTTGCAGCCTTGTAGCAATCCCGGTATATGTGAAGCAGAACATCAGTTTCTTTGAGACTGGATCTTCAGGAAGACTGGACATCACTGTGGGTCCTAAGCAGACCATGGGAAAGACTTTGGAGTGTTTGGTAGTGACTGTACACATGCCCAAAGTGGTTCTCAGTGCCAACCTCAGTGCAACTCAGGGAACCTACAACTATGACCCCGTCACGAAGGTCAAATGCAATTCCATTTCCATTGATTCATTGCAGTTGTGTTATTTTAGCAATGTCACAGCTGATGATCATTTTAAACACTATTTTTGGCTAATTGTTCTGACTGTTGTCTTGTAGATTTTGGTGTGGGATATAGGGAAACTTAACCCCCAGAAGCTTCCCAATCTGAAAGGAAGCCTAAGTCTGCAGTCTGGAGCTCCTAAACCAGAGGAGAACCCAAGTCTGAACATTGACCTGAAAATCCAGCAGTTAGCCATCTCAGGTGGGCTAGGGTCCTCTATCAGCTTTGGTTGTTATTCATTGCCAGCAAGACCTTGTGATAAAGCACAGTTGTTATTAACACGCTTTTAAAAAAGCACAATAAGCTGCTGTAACCCTATTTAATTTACTATTTGTTCACTTTTTTTTTCTCTCTTTCTACATTTTTCATTTCCTTCCACTTGTTTGTATGTAATCGCTGAAATATCATCAGAGGTTTAGGGTCATTTTTAAAAAAAGACTACTTTAATTTTTATACATTCAATTGATTAAAGGTGATAGTCATTTATAATGATACAAAACCTTTCTATTTCAAATAAATGCTTTTGAACTTTCTATTAAGTGTTAAAGCTACATGAGTTTATCTAAAATCTGATGATCATATGATCCAATGAGCATTGAGAATGCAATGAGAATGATATTGAAAGAAATCTGATGTTTTGTAGAGAGGGTGTTCACATGGTCAGTGTCACAAATTTGCTTATTTGAACAATGACTTAGAAATGGCATTCCTTAAGTTTTGGTGCAAAATCCTAAAAACAAAAATCCTATTTTCAGACTTATGTAAAGTGCCTGTTTTAAAATGTGTTATATAAATACAGTTATGCTTACTTCACTCTCTCTTCTGCTTCACAGGACTGAAAGTCAATCGTCTAGACGTGTACGGAGAGAAATATAAGCCATTCAAGGGTGTGAAATATGTGACCAAAGCTGGGAAGTTCCAGGTCAGGACATGAGGCCAGCTGCAGAGTATCACAAGGATATGCCAAAAGTTTATTAGAGGTGCCATTTTCTAAGTGACAAATCATACAGGATTGCAACCTTGTGCACAATCTCCCTTATTTTTTAAAACATGGCAGTTAACATTTGTTATTGTAATATTTATCTTTCTTGTTTTGTGGGAAGTTACTGGCAATTTGCAAGAAGTGAAAATCTTTCCACTGAAGAGTATTGGGAGAGCATTTGCTTTGGGAATCTTTCACTTCATATCAACAACATTCCATTAATGTATTAAAACTGTATTATGTTAGATTTAAGGTACGGTAAATCTTTGCCAGAAAAACACATTACATTAATCACAATACTGCTCTAGTCTTTGATATTGTCACAAAACAATACTTGAGAGTTTCTGCACATATTCACAGGCCTTATTTTTTCATTTAAATTTATTTGCCAGTTCAGTGGCCTTTGAATGAAAAAAAAATATATATATATATATGGAGGAGGCCTCACACACTCAAATGGCCTTTCTTTAAAAGAACAGTCATGCTTATAGCAGGACATATTTACAAGGATGCAATCTACTACACAAGCACATCACTCAGAGGTGAATAGAAGCTGTATCTGCTTGAGAGACAATTTACACTTGAAGTAGTTTGCCACATACAAGCACTGTGGAGCCATTATGAGCTCAAGTGATAAAATCAGTTCTGTTGCACTGACCTGCAGTGATACGGTTAGGGTTTCAAACGGGTGGAAAATTTTTCGTAAATTTCCATGAACTTTTCAAAAATCCCTGGAATATTAAAAAAAAAATGCTGTAAAGTTTCCAAAATTTCTGGAATATTTCCGAAATTTTCTGGAAATTTTCCACATTTTTGCAACCCTATACGGTAGATATGCAGGTCTGCCACCTTAATGAAGCTTTGAGGATTTGCACACAAGGACACACAATTGCATTATTTTGTAAAATGTCAAGGGAACTGCATAACTGCATTTTAAGATATGTATTTAAACCAAAAGCCTTAAGATTTATAAAGTTTAGAACAAAATGAGGTCTTTTTTGTGTGTATCCACTTCTGACTAATACCTGTTTATTATAGCTTCACTTGAATATGTTTGACAAAATTAGAAAGTAACTTGTCCCTTTATTGACATATTTGGCGAATGAAGTTTCCAAACAGAACACCTTAACAGAATTTGTTTATTAATCTGAGGCACATAAGATGTTTTTTCTATGACACTGAAAAAGTCAACATTAGTGTCGTATATACATTCACAAAGCAGTAATTTCACCCTTTCTAAATGTCATCAGAACCCACAACATGCTATTACACATACAAATACAGCCCTGTAAACTTTCACAACGAGGCACTATATTGGGGGCTGAAAAGGTACTCTTTCAAATGTATATGTTGTAGATAAGAGTTTTTAAGTGAATGCAAGGCAGTGAAGCGTCATGATAGTGTTCTTGTAGCTATACAGAGAATTCAGAGTGCATCTTCAGCTAACAATTGTGATGTTTGTGCTACTGAGTTTTTCATAGTATGACTGCACAATTTGATTCTATATTGTAAATTTACTGTCCTTAAAACGGTAGATCACACAAAAACTAAAAATCTGTAGTTTACTGACCCTCATGTCCATCCAAACGTGTACACAGAAGATATTTTTTAAAATATCTCAGTTTTTTTCCATACATTAAAAGTCAGTGACTCAGTGGGGTCCCAAACAACATGTTTGGGACCCCATGAACTTTCATTGCATAGACAAAAACATTTTCAGTTTTAGAACAACATGAGGGTGTTGATAGACTTTTCATTTTTGGGTAAACTGCATCTCCAAACTCATAGGTATCACATATAAACAAGCCACCTGAGACAGTTCCATCATCAATATTCTACAATTGCAAACACAGTCACACAGAGAAACGTCAGAATTACAGCCGTAAACTGTAAAAAGACTGAGCTAAGAGAGAACAGTTCAACTGTTGTGAAGATTGTGCTTTTCTTTTAACAAATTTAAATCATTCACTCTCTCACAAACATAAGTGTGAATGAAGTATAAAGAATTTCAGTGTTAACTATCCAAGCTTTCGCATGTCTGTGTAGGTTTACATGATAGATGTGTTTTTTTTGATAGCTAATGGATATTAAGTGTAAAAAAACCTAAATCTTTGGCATCAACCATGCCATGCAAAATACATCTCTGTAATGGCACGACCCATCAAAAAAGGCATTATCATATTTAATAAATAGCTAAGCAAAAGTTCATTATAAATATGAGCAAAGAACAGTTAATTATAGTGAATTATAACTCAAAAACAACCAGCCATAAGGTTTTTGAATAGCAAAGTAAAACTTACAACTTTGTACGTGTTGTATATTTGCGACTAAAAAGTGATCTGTGATAATGTTCTGATGAAATGTAAGAAATATATACATTTTTAATAAGAAAATGTAATTGTCAAAAACTAATTTAAAGTCAATTTCATCATGAACTCCAACATTGTTCGAGAGAGGTATCGTGTACCTGGAATTTGGAAACCCAACATACCAAAAATATATATTTAAAAATTTGCTTCCTGTATACTCCTACACTATACCCCAGTAGTGTGAGATAAAGGTAACGACAGCAAACTTTCAGGACAAAAATAGCCTCCGTAAGGAGCAGCGGAGGTGTACCAAGTACCCATACCAGCAAGTAAATAAAAAGAAGTAATACCAATCACCCCGAAACTTGAGCCGAACACTGATGTTCAAAAGTTTAAGAATCAGACAGGGTGCTTTCTCTCCACCTGCCACCCCTTATCAGATCTCACAACGTTTGAAAAGGCAAGAATGCAAATTGCTAATGGAAATCAACTAGTCCTCAGTTTACTGGTACCAGGGGGTCTTTCGGACCCAGCGAAGAGTGAACCCTGCGTCTGTGCGGATCTTGATAGAGGCAGCTTCTGCTTCTCTGACCGTCTCCTTCACGGACTGCATGAGGTTCTGCGCGTTGTGCACAAGCATCTCGGTGGCCTAAGGACCAAACACAATCATTTGAATTCCAATCCAATCCAATAAATCCTTCATTAAAGATGTGCCTTTTGTCCTCACCTGCTCAGATTCTTCCTCACTGATGTTTGTACGTCCCAGCATAGTGGCCTTTACCGTGGACAGGATCTTCAGCTGAGTGCTAATAGTTGGGATACGCTCACAAACCTGGAATAAACATTCCAGAGTTCACAGAGGAGAAATGTACTTGATCAGCAAGACGATTTGCAAATCAGTTCTCTACTACTACTGATATTTGTGCCACTGACCTGCAAGAGGTTTGTGCGAATCCGTTTGTCGGTGCATTGCTTGGCTACCTCTTTAGCCAGCCGTGTGACCTCATCGGAGGCCTTGGCGATGTCCTTAGCGCACTGAATGAGGGCACGTTTATTCCCACTGCCTCCACGCACTAGACGAGACATCTCTGCCATGAGCAGGGCCATGCGCTTAGCCGCTCCAATGATGTCATTACCCTAAGAGGAAAAAAGCCCATGTGGACATAGCATGAGTGTTTGATTACAGACGTACTTTGGCAAACACAGGTGAAATCTAAAATAACTACAAACTGTTCCTATAGAGCGGTTGCTGTTCATGTAGATCATTTTTGCCTGTTATTAATCTGTGATTGATGATGAGCTCTATCTAACTTCTATCTAACATTTTAAAATGTCACAAAGACAAACAAATAGTGTTTAGAATCATGTCATTTTCATCCAGTGCACATCAGTCATGCCTTATTGAAATTAGTATAGGTTTATCATGTCTTCTGAAGTCACACGAAGCCGCTGAATCACATTTGTAGGACAAAATATGAGAAACAAATACATGTGAACAAGACATTTTTCTGTGCACACGGAAAAGCATCTTTATGCTTGCTACTGTTTTGTAAATATACTTTTCCGGTGTGGGTGCAAAAGTTTCCCATCATGAACGTTTTTTTGTTTGCACATTTAAGTTTCTCGCACATGTGGGAAAGTATGGAAGCTAATTTCCGCCACGAAAAAAAAATCTGTTACATCTCACGATTTTGACTTTTTCTCTGAATTCTGAGTTTATATCTCTTTTTTCCACCACATAATTTAAAAAAAAAGGTAACTGCAACTTTTTATCTTACAATTCTGAATTTCTTCCTTGCAATTTTGAGTTTATATCTCAAAATTCTGAGTTTATATCTCATAATTGTTCCTTGGTGAATAAGACCTTCTTATTAAATGATTTTTACTCATCTCACAACTTTGATTTTATGTTTATCACGGAATCCTGGATAAAGGTTGGTGATCTAACTCCTTTTTCTGATCTGATCCCTGCTGACTGTACATTTTTTAACTCTCCTCGTCCGACTGGACGCGGGGGTGGGATAGTAACAATTTTAAAGAACTCTCTCTGCACGCTGTCAGTTGGTCCCTGTAACGGCCTTTTCCAGCTTTGAAGCTCAGTTTATTCACTCGGCTGCTTTTGATACCATAGACCACTCCTCACTATTATCTAGATTAGAGTCTTGGGTAGGTCTAAAAGCAAACGTTCTGAAATGGTTTCAGTCATACCTGTCTGACAGAAAGTTTTTAGTGAAGTTGGGTAATTTTTCCTCTTCCCCTGCTCCTCTGACCTGTGGCCTTCCACAAGGCTCTATTTTAGCTCCCTCTCTATTCTCTCTTTACATGTTACCTCTGGGCTCTATTCTACGAAAACATGGTGTGTCTTTTCATTTCTACGCAGATGACACTCAAATCTATTTACCAATCAAGAAAAACAATTCCACTGCGATTACTTCTCTTCTGAAATGTTTAGAGGAGGTTAAATCATGGCTAGCCCTAAATTTCCTCTTCCTAAATGAAGACAGGACCGAGGTAATTGTTTTCGGTCCAAATGATAACTCTCAGTGTATAAGCCCGGGTGCGGAACCTAGGTATTCTAGTCAACCAGCATTTAAAATTTGATAAACACATCTCTTTTTATCGTATATTGGGTCCAGTTTCTATCAGCTTCGTTTACTGTCTAAAATTAAAAACTTTCTCACTCCTAAAATTCTAGAAATGGCTGTTCATGCGTTCGTTACGTCTCGTCTAGATTACTGCAATTCTTTATATTGCGGTATATCTAAATCTCAAATTGCGCATCTTCAGCTTGTCCAAAATGCTGCGGCCAGACTTCTTTTAAAGTGTCGTAAACATGAACACATCACTCCAATTCTTAGATCTCTACACTGGTTGCCGGTTTGTCAGAGAATAGACTTTAAAATTCTCCTCTTTGTATATAAATCCCTACATAACCAAGCTCCTGTCTATCTATCTGACCTTCTTTACTTCTATACTCCGTCTAGAAGCCTACGATCCTGTGACCAGGCCTTGTTGGTGGTCCCTCACGTTAGGCTTAAGCGTAGAGGGGAGCGTGCATTTGCGGTGGCAGGGCCACGACTCTGGAATACCCTACCTTTAGAGATTAGAATGGCCCCTTCTTTGTCTGTTTTTAAGTCCTTGCTAAAAACTTATTTGTTTTCCTTAATGTATTGACTATTGTAATATGGTCATTTTTAAACGTGCGGTTGGTAAAATTGTTGCTCTTCTGGAAAGCACTTTGGTCAGCCTGGTGGCTGTTGTATATGTGCTCTACAAATAAAATGAACTTGAACTTGATAATTGCAAGAAAAAAGTTTGTAAGATTATACGATAAAAAATGACACCCTTTTTCTTTTTGTTTTTTTTTATCTGTGACTGAAATAAGTTTCCATAGTTCTCCTGTGTGCACAAGAAACTCTGAGGGCATTTTTTTTCTGCAAACATAACTTTAGGGGCTCTGTAGAATCTAATGTATTTTCCTCCGGCTTGTTAACAATATGGTGCCCATCTAACAAATTTAGCATAATTATAAAAAAAAAAAATTTAAAAACTTGAGCAGAATTCTGCATGATCCTTTAGTGAGACAGTTATGTTTATACACAGGCATGCAAAGTTTGTGTTAAAATGTAACATCCTACAATGGCTTTGACATGGTTCATTTAAATGGTTAGAAAAAGTGTGCAACAAACAGGCATGTGACATGACTTCAACACGTGTAATTTCCGAAGTCATTGGGAAACTGTCATCCATGGCTTCACAGGTTGGCAAAAAGCAGAGTGTTTGGCAGCAGCGGTTGAGTGAATGGCTCCTCGTTCAAATCGGGGCACAGAGGCGTGACAACTATCAGAAATGAGCAGGGAAGTGACTTGTGAAGCCAGTATCAGTTTGTCCAAGAAATGCACAACAAACTTGCCATTCCAGTCGCGGTCATTGGCAACCCCAGCAGCAAAAAAACACACCGGACCCAAGTGTAGTGTGAAGCAACAACAGCAGCAGCAGCAGCAGCTATCTGGTTTCAGCATTCCCACAGTAATATCTGGATGCAGAAGGGATGCTGTGGCCCGCCGGGGCCGGAAAACGCAGTACCTTACTGGACCACTTGCGAGCCTCCTGGTGCAAAGACTGCGCAGCGGCCAAAATGGGCTGGTTAACTGTCTGATTGGAAGACATTAAGAGCAGCTCTGGCTCAAAATCATCCTCGTTGTCTGTGAATTCATCTTCATCGTCTATATCTACTTCCGCCTCAGCGGCCTCAAAACCCTCGTCTGTCACTTCAGGCTGGGGAGGAGGGGGAGGAAGGAGCCAGCATGGAGAAAGAAGGACAGAGTTAGTACGAGAGGCACTGCATGGAGATTCCCAGGACGACATGATTGTGGGAACAGCTGGGTTTAGGATAGCTGGGAGGGGCAGCATTCTGGGTCCTGCTGGGTAACGTCTGCCACGGGTTTATAATGTCAACTGAAAATCATGTAACTGATCTATTCTCACTTAAAGATGAGGATAGAAACTGGGTGGTTAATTTGGACAGAGAGCAAACAAGCAAAGCCCCCAACAAGATGAAATACATGATGGGTTCTCCATAAAAAGTAGCTTAGACAGATTGTGTTCCAATGAGTTTATATTTCAAATTGAATGATACTTAACCTAAAAATACTCCTAATAAATTATTTTATAGAGATCGTCCTCAGATTTTTTCCTTAAATTGTCCTGATTTTTTTCTTTTAACTTTTCCAATCATTCATTATTACTGAATAAAGATTTTTAAAACATTTATTTTAGGGATGCACTATATTGGATTTTTGCCGATATCCGATATGTCGATATTTTTCAAATAATTTTGGCCGATACCGTTACCAATATATTTCCTTTTGTTTGGAATCAACACCAAGTCTCTCTTGTGCAGAAATTATAAGCAAAATATTTTTAATTTTGGTTAGTTTTTAACAACAACTTATTTGTTAGAATTAAATAAACAATGAAGGTTTTTTGACAGTACATTGAAGCTTTGAAAATAACTATAAATAAACTATATATCAATCGCTGCATTTTGTTTCCCAGAAAGATGGTGTTAACCCTAACATTTTATTTTAATATTTAACATTTGTAGATGGTCT